AAAGAGAACGATAAAAGTATCGTTAGTAACGCTATTCTCGCTGTGTAAAATGCGTCCAGCCATAAACAACAGAATGAGAAACAGCTGAACATCTTATAAACGTAAACAATGGAAAAGATGCATATTCGCCATGTTTGTATTTTATAATACGATACTAATATGTGAATATTAAACGTATTATTATTACATACAGTTAAGTAAAACATCAGTTTTATCAAAATCATGTTTATTTTAAATACCGCTGTACTTTTTGACTACAGTAAATGGATATAAACGTTTGGTCAACGGCGTAGCAAGGGCAAGTACTACATACTCTAATTTTATATCTCGTGTATGATGCGAACTCCTTAAAATTAGATACAAAATTAGACTTTCAAAAGTCGTTTGATACGCGAGTATATACGATAACTGTCTCCCTCGATAGGTTCCAGCCAGGGAAAAATTATTTAGGAAATAATTCAAACTGCAGCTTGTAAAATAAATTATACCACATACAGGTTTTATTTAACTAGCCGCTAGTTTTACAGCAAGGTTTTTATTTGTATTCTTGTCATGAGACTGACGTCATTACAGTTACTTAATAGCCATGTTTTAAATTATTCACTAAACTGCGTTTTATTAGAGCCAAGGTCTCACTTGGTGGGATTCCAGTTAGAATAAGGCTGTATAACGTTGAAACACCGGTTCCCGTATGATCACGGATGTTCAAACTCTGCCGAAGGCAACGCGAAACTACTTCATTATTTCTACCAAGAAGGCATGGCAATTCACATATGTTGTAAAAGAAAAATAAATGTGCGGAGAGCCGTGATCACATACGTCATGAAGGTCACGTGATAGTAAAAAAAAAATATAAGGAATACACTTTAGTATAATATATATATATATATATATATATATATATATATATATATATAGTATATACATATCATATGTATATAATTATATATATATATATATATATAGTCTCATATATATATATATATATATCATCAAATATATATGTATATATAGTATCATATATATATAGTATCATATATATAATATCATATATATATCATCTAATATATATTAGATTATATATACAGATATATTTAAAGTATCATATATATATTATATATACCATCTATATATATATATATATATATATATATATATATATATATATATATATATCATCTAATACATATATGTTAGGTTATATAGCTGCCATAAATAGTCAAAATTAATTTTATTATTACCACTCATGATGATAATAAAAAGTAAAAATGAAAAACGGATTAGCTCACCGGTTTCGAACCTCGTGCAACAGTGTTAAATCGAGGCTAAACTGAATTAAGACTAGAAAATTGGAGAAAGGAAAAAATGTTTAGATGTTAATTAGTTGGAGGCCTAATACAAAGTCCTTCTGTTTACACAGAGAGGTCTTCAATGATAGAATATAGAATTAGGTTATAGATAGATGGATAGATAGATAGATAAGCGAACAAGGTGGTCAGCAGCGAATGTCAACACTGTCTTCAATGCTTGAACACAATCTTCATGCCATGTTTAATTAAGATAGTGTGATTTCCTTAAAAAAAGTTAAAAATGATTACTGCGTCCTTCTCCGAGGCCGAGGACACTAATTCACACGGTGATTTCCGCTAAAAAGGGGGAAACATGTTTGATACTAGAATTTCTGGAATGTGCAGCCCGCTCGGCGTAACACACACTGTTTAATAAATAAAAATAGAGCGTCTCATTTCAACTAAGAAGTATCCAATAAAATAACATTTGAATTAATCACATATTTTACTGGACTCTCCCTTGGTTTTCGACGTATGAGGGTCAAGCAGCTAAGTTCTTACTACCAACAGTCAAACTAACCGCAGATATCATTTGGTTATTGTGGTAAAGGTTGTGCAGAAGCAAACACACTTTTTGGAAAAGGCAAATACAGAAAAGGCACAGCATACCACAAGGCCCCCAAACGACCCTCCACAGATTTTGTATCCAGAGTTGTCAATCTCATAGTTTTAAATTCAGGGTTCTACCAGACAACCTGCACATATTATTTGATTATAGTGTTGAAGTTAATACTTAACAGCCCTCCCCCCACCCACGTGGGATGTATGTGGCTCATGGCCGTGGGTTCTCCGAGCCCGTAGGCTCCCGCCAAAAATATTCCTTTAGGACACGTATAAACGGGTTTAGAGTCTGTCTACCTCTCCGGATGAAACTTTGTCCTTCGGCAAAGCCTCGTCTGGATTCCTCTCTGCCAAGGCAGAGAGTTTGACAGTTGAACAGGCTATGGCATTGTTCCCAAATATAGTGTTGAAGTTTGTGTAGAACCAACGACATTTTTTTGGAAGAGCCGAATACAGAGAACTGGTACACAGTGGTGCGCAGGTTTTGAATTCAGAGTTGTCCTTCTCGTAGACAGCAGTAGGACCCAGTATGTTCTACTATTTACTCATAGCTGGCAGAGAAGATGGATTCATACCTTTTAGCACGTAAGTAGATGTAACGAAATCGACTAGAATTCGAACACGGCTTAATTGTATCATTTACATTATTCGGGCTGTTATCCTCATCTTCATTAACATATACAAAACATTTCGGCCGTTGTACGCCTTCTTCCGTCCCAGTAGATAAAGACGTTGGTTAGATCCAGTGACTAAACCCAAAGAGTTGTGAATACCAGGCCACAGCATTGGTGAACCAAAACTTGGAGATTTCAGTTAACGAGATGTAACTGAGACATCCGGAAGAGGCATGGCACGTTACTCCGGTGGGCGAAATAAAGGGTTCGGTTCGAAATTCCAATCACCTGAAGAAGGCCGGAGCGTACAACGGCCAAAACGTTGTGAATATGGCAATGAGGATGAGGATAACAGTCCGAATAATGTAAATAATACAAGTATATCGAATTAAATGTACATGTCTTCTGCTGGGAAAGTTGGTTCCTTGTGACGTGCCATCTTGCATAGTTCTAAATTAACAATTCGTCCGGGCTTTGGATACAGTTGCCATATCTCGCCCGGTGCTCCAGTCGTACATCTTGCGATTCTTGATAAAATCCAAAGAAGGGCCTGTAATATGATTGATCTTGGCTAGGCATCTTAACTTCTGTCACTCACCGACGTGACGTGGCTTCCCACAGGCTTTTCTACAAATATTTCCATCGCAACTGCTCTGATGAACTTTTACCCACTGGTGTCCCGACCCCATGAATTTAAGCGTGCTACTAGATTGGCAGTTAGGTCTCACCGTTCTACTGTTGAACTAGCTATGCAACTGTCACTTCTACCCTAACAGCTTCTTATCTCGCACTTTTTACCTGTGTAACTACCCTCCTATTTTTTTTCTTTTTATGTACCGTGTCCCTCGAGGACATAGGCGATAATGGCTACCATCTTCCTGTCCCTTGAGGCGCTTAATAAATTTTTTCTGGTTGTTATTTCGCCCAAACTCTGTTCTACCATCCATTTACTGAAGCTCATGTCGCAATTTACGCACCGCTTTCCTCTGTCCCTCTTTCCCTCAATCTGTCCTGTGAGTATCAGTTTTTTCAAGCCCTCTGTTCTCATTATGCACAACAATGTCATTTCGTTTGCATTTTCTCTAAGACCTCGTCGGTGCATACATGTTCAAGCCCTCATCATTTTTTCATAGAACCACATTCTGTTGTCTAGAATTCGCTGCCATACAGGAAGGCAGATATCACGTAACAATTCAATATTCTTTTCTTTGTTTCTTTTGCTTCAAGTCTCTTCTTCATCTTTGAGGAGATTGTCTAGAATTTGCTGCCATACAGGAGGACAGATATCACATAATTCAATATTCATTTCTTTGTTTCTGTTGCTTCAAATCTGGTCTTCATCTTTGAGGAGATTGTCTAGAATCCGCTGCCATACAGGAGGACAGATATCACGTAACAATTCAATATTCTTTTCTTTGTTTCTGTTGCTTCAAATCTAGTCTTCATCTTTGAGGAGATTGTCTAGAATCCGCTGCCATACAGGAGGACAGATATCACGTAACAATTCAATATTCTTTTCTTTGTTTCTGTTGCTTCAAATCTAGTCTTCATCTTTGAGGAGATTGTCTAGAATCCGCTGCCATACAGGAGGACAGATATCACGTAACAATTCAGTATTCTTTTCTTCGTTTCTAACGATTTTTTTTTTTGAATTAACATGGTCTGTTTTCTTGAAACCTGCTCCTTTTTTTATCCTTTTCTAAATCTCCCCCTCATTCTTAGTTTTCTGATTCTCTTTCACTTTCACTCCCTGTAACCTTCTGCGGTCTAGTGGTATTGTTGCTTTCTTTAGAGGTGAAATGACCTTTTAAAAAATCGTTAAAAAAAGAAAATTTTTGACCATGTGAGTGCCATGTAATGGTTGCCTATGCGGAAAATGAACTCCGCAGGTCGACTTCAAATTTTGGTCGAGGTTGTTGCGTTCTCTTCGCGCTAATCCTCTTGCGAAAGGCATGGACCTGTTTCTTCTTCACCCTTTCCCAGCTATAGGTTAAATAGTAGGGTAGACCCGGCTTCTCTTAAATTGAGTGGTAATCAGTCTAAGAGAAGAGCTAGGAATTTAAAAGCAAGAGGAAAGCACTCCACTATCTTTCCTAAGTAGCCAGTGAAATTTAGAGATAGCAAAATAAAAAGGAATATCTGTGGAGAGCCATGACCGTCTACGTCCTCAAGTGATATGGCATTTGATAAATGCAATTCCGATGCTAACACAGCTCAAAGACAAAAAGAACATTGGTTGGTATTTCGGTGGGAAGAGATGTATGTGCAGAGCAATGGTGGGGAGGGTGAAGTGGGACAGGTGGGTTGAAGAATTGGGTCAAAAGCGGAAAGCAAATCATTGGGCAAGAATGGACGGTGGGAAGACTAAAAAAAGAGGGGGTTCATAGCGAAACTAAAAGAATTTTTTGGATTCGTTCAACAACTTGCAAAAAAGAAAAAACCTTTTCTATCTCGCTGCTTTCAAATCTATTTCTGTATGTCTATATCTTTATCTATTTCTCTTTCTTTCTTTCTTTCTTTCTTTCTTTTTCCTCTTTCTCTCTCTCTCTCTCTTTCTTTATTTCTCGTTTTCTTTATCGCCCTCTCTTCCCCTCCCTCTCTTTCCTTCACTCTCTTCCTCTCTCTTTCCCATTCTCTCGGTCTCTTTCCTTCTCTTTTTATCCCTCTCGCTTTACCTCTCTTTTTCTTTTTCTCTCTTTCTATCTCTCCCTCTCTCTTTCACCCACTCTGCTCATTTCTCTGTATCTATTTCATTACAGTTTTGTTGATTGTATTCTGAATGTCTTCCCTATTCTATTTCATTATTCTGCCCACTTTTCTTTTCCTTTTTCTTTTCCTTCTTTCTTTATATTTAGTTTCATTTTGATTTTTCTTCTTCTTTTCTTCCCTTCTCCCTCCCTCCCTCCCTTCCTTCCTTTTTTCCTTCCTTTCTTTCTTACTTTCTTTTTTTCTTACTTTCTTTCTTTCTTTTGTTTTCTTTATTTTTTTCTTTCTTTCTTCAACTGTATTTTTTGTATCTTTATTTCTTTTCCTTTTTTTCTTTCTTTATATCTAGGCTCATCTTTAGCTTTCTTTCTTTCTTTCTTTCTTTCTTCCTTCCTTCCTTCCTTCCTTCCTTTCATTCATTGTTCACCTGTATTTTTCTTCTGTCTTTCTTTCTAGATTTATCTTTATTTTCCTTCCTTCCTTCGTTTCTTTCTTTCTTTCTTTCTTTCTTTCTTCCTTTATATCTAGGTTCATCTTTAGCTTCTTTCCTTCCTTCCTTCCTTCCTTCCTTTCATTCTTTCTTTATTTCTTTCTTTCTTCATTCTTTCCTTCCTTCCTTCCTTCTTTCGTTTCTTTCTTTCTTTATTTATTTATGTCTAAGTTCCTCTTCAGCTTCCTTTCTTCCTTCCTTCCTTTCTTTTTTCTTTCTAGATTTATCTTTATTTTCCTTCCTTCCTTCGTTTCTTTCTTTCTTTATTTATTTATTTATTTATTCCTTCTTTCCTTCCTTTCATTCTTCCTTCCTTTCTTTCTTCCTTCCTTCGTTTCTTTCTTTCTTTCTTTCTTTCTTCCTTCCTGCCTTCGTTTCTTTCTTTCTTTCCATCTAGGTTCATCTTTAGCTTCTTTTTTTTCTTTCTTTCTTCCTTTCTTTCTTTGTTTAACTCTATTTTTCTTCTTTTATTATTTTCATTTTCTTTCTTTTCGACTTTTTCTTTCCTCTACATTTTTCCTCTCGTCCATTTTCCTTCTTCTTTCTTTTCATCCTTTTTCCTTCTCTTTTCCTTTTACTGATTTTCTCCTCTTTCTTTACCTCTTCTTTCTTTCCTTCTGTTCATCTTGTTTTCATCTTTCATTATTTCACTTTTCTTTCTTTTATTCTCTTTTCTCTCCTTTCATCTTTCGTTCATTCTTTCTTTTCATTTTCCATTCGTCCTTCTATTCTTTCTTTCCTCCTTTCTTTCTCTCTTTACCGCCATAATCTTTTTTTTTTGTCTTTTCTTATTTTCATCATCTTTCTTTTCGACTCATTCTTTCTTTTCCTTCTTTATCAATTTTCTTCTTCTTTCTTTATTTTCTTCTTTTTCTTTTCATCTTTTTTCATTCTCCTTCCATTTTCATTTTATTTTCGTTCTTTCATTATTTTCACCATATTTCATTTAATCTTTTATTTTTCCTTTTTCTACATATAAATTTCTTTTTTTCTTTTCCTTTTTACTTTTCTTCTTTCTTTTCCTATTCTTTCTATTTTGTTTACGTCTTTTTATTCTTTATTTCCTAGTTTCTTTCTTTCTTTCTGTGTGCCTTCACAATTTCCTTTTTTTCTTTTTTTCTTTCTTTCTTCCTTCCTTCCTTTCTTCTTTCCTTCCTATTGTTTTATATATTTCTTTCTTTCTATTTTGTTTATGTTTTTCTTTCTTTTTTTTACCTTTCTTTCTTTCTTTCTTTCGTTCGCCCCACAAAATTCCATTCATTATGATGACACTCTCCTTCCTTTCTTTCTTTCTTTCTTTCTTTCTTTCTTTCTTTCTTTCTCCCCACAAAATTCCATTCATTATGATGACACACTCCTTTCTTTCTTTCTTTCTTTCTTTCTTTCTTTCTTTCTTATTGCATCCTATCCCACCACCTAAGACAAAAATAGATAATTATAGCCAAGCGAATCTAAAACGGATTTATGCTTTCTTAATTACAGACATTTATTTCGCCATTGTCGACTACCGGCGACACTCAATGAGGGACGCTCATTCGGGCGGGCGAATGATGAATGCAAGACTAGGACAAAAAATAAAAATAAAAAACGGACATTAAAAGGGTTTCTAGTTCGAAGCCTCTGAAAATTAACTAAGCCTCATAAATATATCTAAGAATTCTTGAACTAGCAATTCTTGGCGAAACACGGTCCCAAATCATTAAACACATTTCCTAACTTAGGCGTCGATTTTCAGGATTTTTCCTCCTTTTTTTTAATCATTTCACCCCAAGCAAGGCATTGCAAGAAACGTTGGGTCACTGTGTCATGCCAGAAGGTTTTCTTTGTCAGAATCCATCTTGCACATTTACAAATATACTATTGTCTGTGCATTGATTACTGTTGCTATATCTGGTGCTCCTGCTATTCATCTTGAAGATCTTGAGAAAATCCAAAGAAGGATCTGCAATGTAATCGATCCTGAACGGGCATCCCGATTCCAGCCATTTTCTCACAAACGTGACGTGGCTTCCCTCTGTCTTTTCTACAAATATTTTCATAGCAACTGCTCTGACGATTTTTTTTCCCCTGGTGATCAACTACGTGAATTTAAGCATGCTACTAGATTGGCATCTAGGTCCCACCCATTCACTGTCGAAACAGTTAAATGTAACCACCACTTCTACTCCAACAGTTTCTTTACTCACGCTTCCCGACAGTGGAACTCACTTCCTCTTACTTGCTTCCCTGATAAATACAATCTTCAAAAATTTAAATGCAACGTCAATCGCAATCTTCTTTTGCTTTGATCCTCATTCTTCTTTTATTTCATCACCCCCCCTCTATACACAGTCTCTTCTCTTACTTTCATTCTCTGTTTTTGTTTGTTTGTTTTGTTTTGTTTTACACCATATCAACCACAATGGTTTATTTAATCCCGACAAAATTTGCTTTTTTTTTCCAAAAATGTATAGCTGGTAATATTTTTTTTTCCAAAAAGTATAGTTTGTTTTGTTTTGTTTTGTGGCATATTAACCTGTTATGCCGGAACATACCTATTCTATTGTTAATAGACTCTCCCACATATAATAAGTAGTAGTAGTATTAGTAGCAGTCGACAGGGAGCTCAGTGAGTTGGTGAGTCAGTCGATGTCGGACATTAAAGTATCAACCACCACAACTAAATTGCTGCGTCATTAACTATTATAACATGTTCCTAACGTCTTGTACGTCGAACCTTTTTTAGGGCCGACTTAGTGAAATACAAGCCTCCACTGTGAAAACTACTTTACAACACATTGGCGACGAGGGATTCGTTCTCATACAGAGGAAGAAAAAATTCGTTCATTCTATAACAACTTTGGCGACCAGGATTCGAAATTCATACGGAAAAAAATCGTTTCGCCATATACAACACTTGGCAACGAACGTATTTTGGATTCATACGAAAAAAAAAACTTTTAGTTCACTCTACAACACATTGGCGACGAGGGATTCGTTCTCATACGGAGGAAGAAAAATTTTTCGCTCACTCTACAAGATAACCTCAATGGGTTATTTAATGCTGACAAGATTTTTATTTCTGGTAATATTTTCTTTTTTCAAATATGCTGATACTAATTATTTTAAAAAAAAGTATTTCTGGTATTAAAATGTATTTTTACACTTTCATAGTGTTTTGAGTCAGGTTGTGGGGTCAACTCTTTGCCCATAGCTGGGTTCCTAACAAGTGTTACCACCCCAGGTCAGGGTGGACCTGGGAACACCAGCAATTAACAGGTGGTTTCACGCTTCTCAAAACCTCCTGATCAGAGGCCTTGCTGCCGGATGTAGTTTATCGTCTTACCCAGGACACGGATGCAGTTTATCGTCATACCCAAGGCGCTTCATTCTCTGTACTCCCTTTGTACTGGCGATTGCCGAAGTTAAGCAATGTCGAGTTTGTTCAATACTTAGATGGGTAACCACTTGGGAATACTAAGTGTTATAAGTTTAGATGTGCGGGTGGTGTAAAGGATAAAGGCTTGGAATTTCAAATCGGAGAGCCGAGTTTCAAATCCAGTCAGATTCACTGACGTGCAAATACCATTTGCAAAGGCATGAATCCACCATTTCTTTCCTCCAGTTATGCCTTTAATTACTATCTCCAAAACAATCTTATAATCTATAAATATTTTTCTGGTTTTAAATAACCTGAAAAAGGTTGATAATCCATAAAAAACAAATCAATGAATAAATAATAATCAATCAATCTTTTCATATCTGTCGGTTAATCTACGTCATCTGCCTGTTAATCTATCTAGCATAATATTAATTTCGCTGTTTATATATCTGTCTGTCTATATATCATTCTCTCTATTCCATTCTATTCATATCTACCTGTGAGTTTCATTATCAAATTTGGTATTTTCATATCCGTCGGTCAATCTATTTAACCTTATATAAATTTTAGTTTTTTTCATATCTGTCAGTCCCACAATCGTTATAGGAATTTCAATCTTTTCATATCTGTCTGTAAATCTAACAAACTTTATATCAATTTCAGTCTTTTTAGATCTGTCCATCTCATAAAAGTTATATTAATTTCAATTTTTCATATCTATCGGTCAGTCTAACTAACGTTATATCAATTTCAATCTTTTCAAATATGTCAGTCTATCTAACGCAGCAGTTCCCACCCGATTTTGGTCCATGCCCTACTTTGGTTTTTCTAAAATTCTGGTGCCCCCTGTAATATGTAATTCTTACATGCATGCCAATTACACATGTACATACATACACACAAAATACTGTTATGTGTGCACATGTATATACACCGTATATATTAACACACATTAACATTAACACTCTCACTTAGACTCACTAGAAAACAATTCACTTTTAATAAGTCATTCCCGAATTACCCCCTTATTCTGTTGGTATAGTAAGTCGAAGGGTACACATCATACGCAGGACCTACCAAAATATTATCATGCCCCACCGGTGGGGCATGCGTCTCACATTGAGAATCATTGATCTAGACTATAATTACGAACTATGTTCACGTTTTTATCTAAAAGCAACAAAATACAAGCCTCAAGCAGAATAGCGGCAATATCCGGAAACAAAATAAGACGATAGTTTACAATGAAGCCAGGATAATATGTCAAGTGGAACTGTCATTGCACAGAGGATGACTTGATTTGACTTCATTAGAATTACAACGAGGCGACTCAGATGAAGATATTTTTGGTTCCAAGAATCATCAGAAACGAAATAGACTTTATCACAAGATCTGCCATTTTTTTTTGAATTGCGACAACTTTCGTATGTAGGTAGGTAAATACTACAATATTAATGGTGGACTCTCCCGTCGTATTCGACGTATGAGGATCAAGCAGCTCAGATGCCAGACACTAGCACATATGAAGGTGAAAGCTTTGTAATAAACCAACCACACTTTTTGAAGGGCCGAATACAGATTTAGAATTCAGAGTTATCCTTCTCCTAGACCAGTTGCCCTCCAAAATATTACCATGCCCCACCGGTGGGGCATGCACCCCACGTTGGGAATCATAGATCTAACGTTATACCAATTTCCGTTTTTTCATATCTATCATGTTATATGAATTTCAGTCTTTTCATATCTCACTGTCAATCTAATGTTATAGCGATTTCCGTCTTTTCGTATATGTCTGTAAGTCTCTATAATATTGTATCAATTTCAGCCTTTTCATAATCTACTGATTATTCAGGGCAATTAAACATTAAACGGCGAAAAAAGGTGTTCGAAAGTGCACACTAAATCGGTAAAAAACGAGAAATTTCTTTTTTTTTTTTAAACTGTTGATTCATGATTATTTTCACTTTATTATATACAATAATTATGGAAATTATATTTTTTTAAATGTTTAGATAAAATCAGGAAGAGACAGCTGG